TCTTTATTATCCCTGCTTGTAGTCATCATTTACTCTTTGGACTTCTAAAATTGCACCCTCTGGTATAGCTTTGGATCAGGCCACAAGTACAAACCTAAAAGCATTCATTAAGCAGCAGTGATTGAGTCAGAGGAAAAAGAAAAAAAAAACAACTGAGTAAGAGAGACAATGTGATATAGTGGAAAAATATTAGATTTTCAGTCAAAGAACTTGGGTTCAGATCCTACTTCTGTCACTGCCTGTATGATACACTGTGAACCACTCAATCTCTTAGAGCTTCAGTTTTCTCATGGGTAAAATGAAAGGTTTGGTCTGGATGTCTTCTAAGGTCTATTCTAGCTCCAGGTCCAAGATTCTATTACCCTTAAGTCTCACTTTTATGGATACTCTACTGTGTGGATTAAATGAATCTAACATATGGAAGATTTCTATAAGGAAGCTGTTCAAGTTAATTAAAACCATTTCAAGATTTTCTCCTGAAGAGTTTATATACACACACATATATGTATATGTATTTATATATAAACATACACACATATATAGATTTATAAATACATGCCATACATATGTTTATGTTAAAATGTGCATGCACACATGCACGTACTTACATATACGTATGCTTATGCACATACATATTGTATACATACATACATACATACACATACACAGAGTAATCATGGATTTGAATTCCCCATACTAACACTAATTATGTGAACATGAGCAGATTGCTTCACCCTCTGAGCCTGTCTTCTCATCCACAAAGCTAAGACAATCACAAGTATACAACTTATGTTACAAGATTTTTGGTGAGCAAAGTGATTTGTAAAAATTAAACTTAAATACTCCTGTCAGGTACTGGCTCTTTGTTATGTAGACATTTTGTTTGCTGAAAAAGTAAGAAAAAGGAGTTGCTCTTCTCTAGCCCTCTTTGCAGCTCTTTTGCCTCTCACTTTTTACAGAGTCCCCGTGGGCAGGTGTATTAAAAGGATTTAGTGAGGTTCGGATTCGCTCCTATAAATGACACTCTCCAATGCACCAAAAAATAATAAGAAATAGATAGTTTATTTAGAAGAAGCAAGGCACAGATAGTTTGAATTTGCATACAAAGCATATAACAATAAGAACAATCAATAACATAGCACTGATCAAGAGAGTCGGTAATGGAAGAGAATACATCACCAATTCAAGGGAACCTCCAAAGTCAATCAACGGCTGGGAGCCCCGTTGCAGCCAGTACAAACTTGAATTGTGTAAAGATTTTCCCGGGCGAAGCGTCCTTCCCGCGGGTGAGGCTCAGCGGGCTTACAGGACGCAGTGTTTTTATATTGTTCTAAACAAAGAAGGCTTGGGGCCAAGAAGCCCTTTTTGATGCATGCGCTATTCATGGTTTGTTCAATACACATCTGACCTTAGCCGCTCCCATCCGCCTGAGGCTTGGGTATTTTGTTTTTTAATAACATCACGTCTCACAAGGAGAGGAGCCAACCCTCCATGTCAACGTGACCTAGGAATGGCTAGTTCCTGGAATGCTAGGCCAAGAACACTCAGGAGATATGGAACGGTCATGACCGAGATTTGAACTGAACCTATTTATTTGAGTGATCTTATTAATTTAAAGGGGAATTTCCAATTTCCATTTCAGCAGGGGTAGGGGTGGGGGCGGCTCCTTTTTGGGGGTTAGCACCTCCTCAACACTTTTTGGTTTGTGGGGGAAGGAGGGACCTTGGGACCCGCCCAGCACCCTCACCCCTCTTCCTTTCCCAGGAATCCTGAGTGTCTACAGGGTGAAGAGGAGGTAGGTTACGAACTTTGGATTTTCATGTCCTCATCTTCTGTCTTCATCAGACATCTAATGCCTCAAATCAAGGCTTCTTCATGAGTTAAGCTCAACTCTAAACTCAGTTTGAAAAAGCACAGTTCTACTAGGTATGACACAAGCAGACAATACACAAATTTTCCCATCATCTATAAGCATCTCTGTGATTTATAATTGCTCAGCTATTTACTTCAAAACTTTGAAAACAGTCATATGCAAATGACCTGGTGGACAAAAATGCTTTGCAGTTGTGCTGACTTTCAGGTAGGGCTTTTGTCTCTCAAAGGGATGCTTCTCTCCCCAGTCTGCTCAGAACAGCCATGTTTTACTTCAACCATTTGTATCTGCTGGATTGTGCTTATTCGCAAGCTGATTTTTCCCAGTGTTCTACACAGTTGCCCTTTCTCTTATTATTATTTTTTTTTTACTCATTACCCTCTTTATTCAGCTCCAAAGAAATGCACCAAATACAGCAAAAGGAATCTAATGACAAAGACTGCCCATTATAGTTTGGATTGTGCAGAGAATCAAAAATAAGAGTAAATGATTTGGGTTAAATTAGCTTAGATGGCTGAATGAAGACAGGTTCTGTAGGTGTTGTCCTCTTTAGAGGAGAACAATTTAGAAGCTGGGAGCTGGTTGAAGCAAGCAGAACCCTGCAGCTAAAGGTCCAGAAAGGTTTATAAGTTAATAATCTTCTGACATTTATAGTTTGACAGAGGGGAACCTATCTGGGGTGCCTGTTACTTTATATTATTCTCTTTAGCTTAAGAGAAAAGCAAAGTTTGAAAGTTGTTTTCCTGGAAGCTGTGCTACTAATTTTTGCTGAAAGAGCTTAATGTTTTCTCTGTGTCCTGCTAAGAGTGGCCATGAGCTAAAGGTGCAAAAGAAGATTTATATTTCCCAAGAGTGACAAATGATTTTGCTCAGCAAGTGGAATGTGTTGAAGATGCTTCTTTTTTTTTTTTTTAAAGAGCCGCTTTTCTTTATTAAGTATTTTATTTTTCTGCAGTTAAATAAAAAAAAATTAACATTCATTTTAAAACTTTGCATTCCAAATTCTCTCCCTTCTTCTCCCTCATGCTTCCCTTATTGAGAAGGTAAGCAATTTGATATAGATTATACATGTGTAGTTATGCAAAACATATCAATAACAGGTTGTGAAAGAAAACAGATAAAAAACTCAAGAAAAATAAAGTTAAAAAAATATGCTTCAATCTGCATTCAGATACTATCAGTTCTTTGTCTAGGAATGGATCAAATTTTTCCTCGTAAGTCCTTCAGAGTTGTCCTGGATTGTTGTGTTGCTGAAAATAGCGAAGTCATTCACAGCTGATCACCTTTCAATATTGCTGTTACTTTGTAAACAGTGCATTTCACTTTGCATCAATTCACACAAGTCTTTGCAGGTTTCTCTGAGAGCATCCTGCTCATCATTACTTATAGAACAACAGTCTTCCATCATAATCTCATACCACAACTTGTTCAGCATGGGCATCTCAATTTCTAATTCTTTGCCTCCAGAAAAGAGCTGCTATAAATACTTTTGTATATATAGGTCCTTTTCCTTTTCTAAATCTCCTTTAGGACACAGAATCAGCAGTGATATTACTAGGACAAAAGGCACGCATGGTTTTATAGCCTTTTGGGCATAGTTTCAAATTGCTTTACAGAATGGTTGAATTAGCTCACAACTCCACGCGAACAGTACACTAACGTCTCATTTTTCCCACATCCCCTCCAACATTTGTCATTTATCTTTGCTGTCCTATTAGGCAATCTAACAGGTATGAGGTAGTACTTGAGTCAGAGTATTTCTTCATATAATTATAGATCGCTTTGATTACTTCATCTGAAAACTGATCACATCTTTTGATCATTAATCATTTGAGGAATGACTCTTATTTTTTATAAATTTGACTCAGTTCTCTACATGTTTGAGAAATGAGGCCTTTATCAGAAAAAAAAATTTGCTTCAAAATATTTTTCACAGTTACTAATGCTAACTGTATTTTCCTCCATCCTATCCCCCCATTCATTCTATTCTCTCTCTCCTTTTAACCTGTCCCTCCTCAAAAGTCTTTTGCTTCTGACTATCTCCCCCCAATGTTGCTATCACCCCCCTTCTCTTGTCCCCGTACCCTACTTTCCTATAGGGGTAGATGTATTTCTACACCCACTTGTGTGTGTATGTTATTCCCTCTTTGAGCCAATTCAGATGAGAGTAAGGTTCTTTCACTTCCCCTCACTAGCCCTGTCTTGTCCTCTACTGTAAATGCTTTTACTTGCCTCTTTTATATGAAATAATTTATCCCATCCTGCCTTTCCCGTTCTCTTTCTCTCAATACATTTCTCTTTCAACCCTTAATTTTATTTTTAGATATTATCCCTTCACATTCAACTCGTGCCTATGCCCTCTGTCTATATATATATTTTCTAACCACTCTGATAATAAGAAAGGTCTTATGAGTTGCAATTATCCTCTTCCCATGAAATGTAAACAGTTTAACATTAATAAATCCCTCATGATTTCTCTTTCCTGTTTACCTTTTTATGCTTCTCTTGAGTCTTGTATTTGAAAATTAAATTTTCTATTCATCTCTGGTCTTTTCTCAAGAATGCTTGAAATTCCTCTATCTCATTGAATGTCCATTTTTCCTCTGAAGGATTATACTCAGTTTTGCTGGGTAGGTGATTTTTGGTTGTAATCCAACCTCCTTTGCCCTCCAGAATATCATATTCCAGGCCCTCCAATCCTTTAATGTAGAAGCTGCTGAATCTTATGTTATTCTGATTATGGCTCCACGATCCTTGAGTTGTTTCTTTCTGGCTACTGGAGATATATTTTCTCCTTGACCTAGGAACTCTGGAATTTGGTTATAATATTCCTGGGAGTTTTCATTTGGGATCTCTTTCAGTAGGTGATTGGTTGATTCCCAATTTTTCCTCTACTTCTCTTACTTGACTTTCAAAATCCCTTTTGAGCTCTTCCATGGTGTAAGACCAATTCATATCTTTCTTGGAGGCTTTCGATGTAGGAGCTTTGACTTTGGTGTCTTCTGAGTGTGTCACCATAGTAACATCCTTGTCACCATAGTAACTTTCTATAGTCAGAATGTTTTTCCCCATTGTTTGCTCCTTTCCCCAGCCTATTATTTGAATTTTTAACTTTGTTAAGGTAGGGCTATGCTTCTCAGGGTGGAGGATGTGCTGTCCCAAGCGTCAGGAGCTTTGTACAGCTGTGGACTTGTAAGGTTTCAATTCTTCCAAGGTGGTATGATCCAAAGAGAGGTGTTGATTACTCTACTGGCCTGTGGTCTGTGAGTGATCAAAGCACTCTTTGCTCTGTAACTGTAAGAAGCATCCCCTTTGCACAGTGAGCACAAACTATGCTGTGCTAGTGCTCCTCCTTGATCTGGAACTACCACTCAGGGCTGCAACCTGGATTCAAGTATGGGCAAAGCAACAGAGTCCTGCCCCATTGCTATCAAAAAGACTTCTGTAATCCCCTTCTGACCAGTTGTTCTTCCCCCCATTACCATCTGTGAGCTGAATACTCCAAAAGCAGGGGCTATTGCTGCTGCCACTGCTGCCAGTGATTCTGTCACCCTGAGGCCTACTCTAGGTTTGCTAGGGCCTGATTTTTGCTGGCACAGCCTCTGCTGAATTGCATTCTTCACTCACTCTGGTGTAATAGACCTTCTATGGGGACCTTCTAAGTTGTCTTGATCTGGAAATTTCCTCACTCTTCTTTTTTTTGGTTCTGCAGCTCTAGAATTTGTGTAAAGGTATTTTTAAAGGCATTTGAATGGATTTAAGGGAGGGCTAAGGCAAGTCCCTGACTTTTCTCTGTCATCTTGGCTTTATTCCAGATATTTCCTTAAAGAGATCAAGGATGTCAAGGCCAACAATCCAGAATTTTGAGGTGCCCCAGGTACGTGACATAGATATACCTCATATTGTACCTTCCGTACAGTTTTATGAAATTTGTGCCTGTTCTGTTCAACACTTAAGGATGCTGTGTACATTTCTGGGAGAGTTTATCCTAAATTGATGAGTGGACTTTGCTTTTTAAAATTATTTCCTTTTCTTCCTTTTATTGAGATAATGTTATGATAATTCTTTTGATTACTTTCACATATAGTAAATATTTCATGTTTTAGAGATAATGGTTTCATTGTGACTAATTTTAGATAAATGAGAAGCACAAAAATGATGACTCACAGTGGTTAAAAGTAGTAGTCCATTTCTCTTGCCTGGGTTATCCATATGACCCCTAAAATTGAGCAGTAATAGTGTATTGGTGGTGGTAGCCTGCCATCCACTCTGGGATACCCCCTAGACTAAAGAGCATGAATAAAAGTTGGGGGGAGTGAACATTATGTGTCTGAGATAAGTGGATTGTTAGGTGAGCTATATAGCTTATTTATGCTATGAAAATATGTTCTAGATTTATTTAACCTGCCTATGCTTAAATGAATTTGAAGTGGCTTACAAAATTATACTTTACTGCAAATAATTCAGTGAGAAACCAAAACCATGCGAGAGCACATTCTAAATGAAACAGATAGAATGGGTATGATTAGGCACCATAGAGGAGCAAGTGACTCAATTGGACATTGACTAGTTCTAAATTTCCTGGCAACCAATGTTAAAATGGTAAAATATGTGTTACATTGTTTCAATTTTCTGAAGCAAAACAAAGAAGTCCCAAAATAATTAGTTGATTTGTTATTTAGCTGTTACTGCCTCTCTTTTGTCCAACCTAAAAATGACAAACCATCATTAAAGTCCTCCTTTGATGCCTTCTTCATAGTGATATGGAAGTGTTTCTGGGTTCTTAAAGGTCACTACATTTGGCCAGTTCCACTGAACTGGAAAGTTTTAAAGTATTGGCCTTGTGCAGTATTGTGTTTGCTGTTTGAGGAGCAGACTAATTCTTTCAGATGATAAATTTGTATTTTGGCCACAATAACTCATGCAGACTATTAAAATATTTGGTGGTTGTCTTCATCATTAGTGGGGGAACACTGACATATATGAAATTCTGGATCTTTGAAGTCTTAAGGTAAAATAGGGAGCATCTTCAGGCTTCCTTAGAGTTGCGATTTGCTTTCATCTTATACAGATCAAGCCCTTTTAGTCATTCTTTGACTGTGCTATCTTCAAGGATGGGAAAGGTTATTTTGTGATTGGCAATGATATCAGCGCCTGGACTGTTTTTTGAGGTCAAAGCTAGAGGATTAAGTTTATTATTCAATTCATGTTCAGGCAGGTATTTTCATTCATTCCTTTAATAAACACTTATTGAAAGCCTTCTAAATGCCAGGTGGTATGCAAAGTAATGGGACTACAATGGGAAAAAATGCAGTCCTTTCTCTTAAGGAACTTACATTCTATTGGAGGAAACAATATAATGTAATTTTAGTGAGGAGACTGAGGAGAACAACCAACAGCTAGAGGAATACATGATAGGCTTGTGTCCTATAGTTCATAGTAGTTGAACCAAGCATTGAAAAAAGTTAGGAATTCTATGAAGTAGAGATGAATAAGTCTTGCATTCCAGTCCAGGGGTCCAGCCCTTGAAAAGGCAAATAAATGTACAATGGAGTGTTTTGTACAGAGGATAGCAAATATGCAAATTTTACTGTAAAATAGAGTATGTAAATAGAGTAATTTGCAAAAGTCTGAAATGTAAGTTGGATCAAGATGGATAAAAACTTTAAAATCCAATCAGAGGAATTTGCATTTTGTTGTGGAGGCAACATCAAGACTCTTGAGCTTCCTGAGCAAGCAAATGACATATTGATATGTATAGTGCTATATATGAATGACTAGGCACAAAGTAAAATTATTAAATTTGTTTTTTAATTAACTTATTTTGATTTATCAACAATCACTTTCATATGCTATTGAGTTTAAATTTTTTCTCCCACTTTCTCCCCACCACCCTCCACAAGATGGTGCACAATCTGATGTAGGTTATATGTATATGCATTCCTATTAAACATATTTTCACATTAGTGATATTGTAAGTAAGAATTGGAACCAATATAATGAAGTATTAGCAAGAGGAAACAAAACACAACCTAAGAAAAAAATAGTAATTAATACGCATTGATCTGCATTCAAACTCCATAGTTCTTTCTTTGGATGTGGATAGCATTTCCATCATGACACATTTGGAGGTGTATTAGGTCCTTGCATTGCTGAGAAGAGCTAGGTCTATCAAATTTAGTCATCGCACAATGAGGCTGTTATTGTGTACAATGTTCTCCTGATTCTGCTCACTTCACTCAGCATCAGACCATACAAGCCTTTCCAGGTTTTTCCAAAGTCAACCTATTCATCATTTCTTATAGTGCAATAGTATTCTATCACATTCATACACCACAATTTGTTCAGCCATTCCCCAGTTGATGGGCATCCTCTCAATTTCCAATTCTTTACCACCACAAAAAGAGCTGCTATAATTATTTTTGTACATTTAGGTCCTTTTCCCATTTGTATGAACTCTCTGAGACATAGCCCTAGAAATGCTATTGCTGGGTCCAAGGTATGCACATTTTTGTAGCCCTTTGGGCATAGTTCCAAATTGCTCTCCAAAATGGTGGGATCATTTTGCAACTCCACCAACAATGCATTAGTGTTCCAATTCTCCAACATCTCCACATTTATCATTTTCTTTTTTTGTCATGTTGGCCAATCTGATAGGTATGATGTGGTACCTCATAGTTGTTTTGATTTGCCTTTCTCTAATCAATAGTGATTTAGAGCATTTTTTTCGTATGGCTATAGATGGCTTCAATTCCTTCATATGAGAACTGCTGGTTCATATCCTTTGACCATTTATCAATTGGGTTGTATTCTTATAAATTTGACTTAGTTTCTCTATATTTTAGAAATGAGGCCCTTATCAGAGAGACTGGTTGTAAAAAATTCTTTCCCAATTTTCTACTTTCCTTCTAATCTTGGTTGCACTGGCTTTGTTTGTGCAAAAACTTTTCAATTTAATGTAATCAAAGTTATGCATTTTGCTTTTTGTAATGTTCTCCATCTCTTATTTGGTAATGAATTCTTCTGTTCTCCACAAATCTAATATGTAAACTATTCCTTCCTCTCCCAGTTTGCTTACAGTATCAGCCTTTATATCTAAATCACGAACCCATTTTGACTTTATTTTGGTATATGGTGTGAGATTTTGATATATGCCTAGTTTCTGCCATACTCTTTTCCTGTTTTCCCAGCAGTTTTTGTCAAAGAGTGAGTTCTTATCCCAGAAGCTGGGGTCTTTGGGTTTACCCAATAATAGATTACTATAGTCATTGACTACTTTGTCTCGCATACTTAACCTATTCCACTGATCTACCACTCTATTTCTTAGCCAGTACCAAGCAGTTTTGATGATTGCTACTTTATAATACAGTTTAAGATCTGGAAAGGCTAGGCCACCTTCCCCTGCATTTCTTTTCATTAGTTCCTTGATATTCTGGACCATTTGTTCTTCCAAATGAATCTTGTTATTATTTTTTCTAACTCTATAACAAAATTTTTTGGTAGTTTGATTGGTATGGCACTGAATAAGTAAATTAGCTTAGGTAGAATTGTCATTTTTATTATATTAGCTCGGCCTACCCATGAGCAATTGATGTTTTTCCAGTTATTTACATCTGATTTTACTTGTGTGAAAAGTGTTTGTAATTGTATTCATATAGTTCCTGAGTTTGTTTTGGCAGGTATACTACTAAATATTTCATAATGTCTGCAGTTACTTTAAATGGAATTTATCTTTCTATCTTTTGATTTTGGACTTTGTTGGTAATATATAGAAATTCCAATGATTTATGTGGGTTTATTTTATAGCCTGTAACTTTGGTAAAGTTGTTTATTATTTCATGTAGTTTTTTACTTGATTCTCTAGGATTCTGTATGTATTTCATCATGTCATCTGCAAAGAATGATAGCTTTGTTTCTTCTTTGCTTATTTTAATACCTTCAATTTCTTTTTCTTCTCTTATTGCTAAAGTTAACATTTCCAACATAATATTGAACAGTAGTGGTGATAATGGACATCCTTGTTTCACCCTCAATACTATTGGGAATGCTTCTAGCTTGTCCCCATTACATACAATGCTTGCTTAAAGTTTTAGGTGGATGCTATTTATTATTTTAAGGAAGACTCCATTTATTCCTATGCTCTCTAGTGTTTTTAATAGGAATGGGTGCTGTATTTTGTCATAAGCTTTTTCCACATCTATTGAGATGATCGTGTGGTTTCTGTTAGTTTTGGTGTTGATATGATCAATTATGTTGATAGTTTTCCCAATATTGAACTAGCCCTGCATTCCTGGCATAAATCCTACCTCGTGATAATGTATTATTCTTGTCATAATTTCCCGTGATCTATTTGATAATATTTTATTTAATATTTTTGCATATATATTCATTAGAGAAATTGGTCTATAATTTTCTTTCTCTGTTTTGAATCTTCCGGGTTTATGTATCAGCACCATATTTGTATCATAAAAAGAAATTTGGAAGATTCCTTTACATATTTTCCCCAACACTCTATATATTGTAGGAATCAATTGCTCTTTAAATGTTTTATAGAATTCGCTTGTAAATCCATCTGGACCTAGAGCTTTTTTCCTAGGGAGTTCATCAATGATTTGTTCAATTTCTTTTTCTGAGATAGGGTTATTTAAATATTTTAGTTCCTTTTCTGTTAATATGGGCAACTTATATTTTTGTAAATATTTATCCATTTCATTAAGATTGCCAAATTTGTTGGCACACAGTTGGGCAAAATAGTTCCTAATTTTTGTTTTAATTTCCTCTTCCTTGGTGGTGTTTTCACCCTTTTCATTCTTGATACTAGTAATTTGGTTTTCTTCTTTCTCTTTTTTTAATCAAATGAAGCAAAGTTTTACCTAT